CCCCCCCATATCCTCTCTCCCCAGTGAAGATGTTCAATAAATCGTCGACTTAGCATTTTACTACCGGAGCGGACCTCAGTTTACGGCCAATAGAAGAACGGTGGTTAGCGCTAATGGGTGGGCAGCTGAAGATCATCCCCTAGACCGGGGATGTCCAAGCACAGGCCCTCCAGCTGTTCAAACTACAAATCCCATGATGCATCTCTCTCCGGGAGTCATGCCTGTGGCTGTGAGAATCTTGCAAAGCCTCATGGGATTCGTAGTTCCACCGCAGCTGGAGGGCCGCAGCTTGGACATCCCTGCCCTAGACAGACTAGAAGTGAACCGGGCACCAGCGGCTCCTACGGGGGGGGGGGGAGCGCTACATACTCATAGACCCCATTTTATTGTTCTGTAGAAGGACGGGCGGGCCGAGGATTTCTGTAGCTCTTTATTAAAGTAATGTCAACATTTCCAACGCCATATGAGCGCTTCCATCACCCCAAACCTACAATACACTTCCTGCTTAGCTTTGGATAGAGTAGCTGGGGACAGAAACCCCCATTGAGGTTGTATTTTCCTGTAACCCGTCTGGGGAGAGTTACCGTCACTTCCTGCCAAGAAGACAAAACAAGAAATGAAAGGGAATCGCTACAAAGTGACAGAACTCGCTCAGACAACTGTCACTGGAACACGTGTTCAATATGGAAGATTTCCCCTTTATTCCTGAATATCGGGAGGAAGGAGGTCCTGATCCCTCTATATAGATCTTTATTATCACTAGAGGGATCCCCAGCAGGAGGAAGGAGGTCCTGATTCCTCTATATAGATCTTTATTATCACTAGAGGGGTCCCCAGCAGGAGGAAGGAGGTCCTGCTCCCTCTATATAGATCTTTATTATCACTAGAGGGGTCCCCAGCAGGAGGAAGGAGGTCCTGATCCCTCTATATAGATCTTTATTATCACTAGAGGGGTCCCCAGCAGGAGGAAGGAGGTCCTGATCCCTCTATATAGATCTTTATTATCACTAGAGGGATCCCCAGCAGGAGGAAGGAGGTCCTGCTCCCTCTATATAGATCTTTATTATCACTAGAGGGATCCCCAGCAGGAGGAAGGAGGTCCTGATCCCTCTATATAGATCTTTATTATCACTTTGTAATTTTCCCCAATAAGATTTGCCACACTTGGCCCCCCGCGTGAAGACTTTGGGGTCTATTCACAAAGCTGCCGAGGGCAGCCGAGTGAATGACCGATCAGAAGTGAAGTGAGCCGAACACTGTTCGGCTATTCACTTCAGGCTGGTACGGCTTACTTCAGCCGTACATCGGCTTGCTTCCTGTGGCTTCGGATCGGCCGAACATGCTCAGCATGTTCGGCTGACCCGAAGTGCAGAAGGAGTTCGACTCAGCCGATCCAACATCTGGATCGGCTGAGCCGAACCTCCGGCAGGCTTCACACTGCTGTTCGGGCTATTCTGAAAGATCCCGAACAGCAGTGAGAGAATAGCTGATACCGCCGAGCGGCATTTGGCTCGGCTGTTCTGCTCGGTCCCTCAGAGGCACCGAGCAGAACAGAAAAAGAGTGAAAAAAGTAAATAAAAGTACATAGAAAACGATTGTGCGGAGCTAGCAGTGACAG